AAAACCTAAGACTGTAGGTGATGCAGTCAAGGTTGCTTTAAGGTCAACGAAAAAACTCAACATAAAACCAACACGTACTGTTAAAATTCCAAAGAGGGGTGGCTTGTTACTCTTGATTCCGATTTTCGCGGGATTGAGTGCTCTCGGGGCAATCACAGGTGGCGCTGCAGGTGTAGCTAAGGCTGTCACTGATGCCAGATCAGCAAAAAATCAATTGGAAGAATCCCAACGACATAATAAAACAATGGAAGCTATTGCAATGGGAAAAGGAATGTATTTGAGACCATATAAAACTGGTTTGGGACTTTTTTTGAGATAACCATCCTAGTATTATCCTGATATCAACAAGATGAGGATGAATAAACAGAGGGAATCTCGTAAGAGGATACCACTCAATTTCCCACTATCCAATTTGGATATTCTGAAGTACGTTAAAGAACTCAACATTCCCCATTTTAGGGGTGTATTTATGAGGAATGATCTTCCCAAGTAAATCAGAAGGAAAGAACGTGGCGTGATAAACTTGGATAACAAAGATGGACCGGGGACGCATTGGACCGCCTACAAAAAAATTGGATCACAAATCGTCTATTTTGATAGCTATGGTAATCTGCGACCACTACTGGAAACGTTAGATTACTTCAATTCCAATGGACCTTGTAATATTTTATATAATCACACTGTATATCAAACTTTCAATTCTGTGAATTGCGGTCAGTTATGTTTGAAATTTCTCTCTCAATAAAATATAAGCGTAATTTATCTCATTCTTTCAATGACTCTATCACTATCATGACGTGTTCATATACTTTCATCTTATCAGCCAGAGATTCTGTATTATCAGCTAAAATCCATCCACCTATCATTTTAGATTATGATAAAACCCATGTCTTAGGTCTGATTGACTTCGTGACCTACAACACTATCCCCAATATTGATGGGAGAAATAACAGATTCTATGTTGGCAAACACACATTGGTTATTCCTGAAGGTTCCTATGAAATTGAAGACATTGAACGGAATATTATGATGCAATTGGATGAATTGCATGAAAAAGATAGAGAGAAGGAGGGAAAAAAAGCTCAAATTTCGAATACTATTATGAAAGAAGAGGAGAAAACTACCGAGATTCAGCTCAAATTGAATGCTAATCGTAATACTCTAAGGTATGAGATAACATGCAACAAACTCATACACTTTGATAAACCTAACTCGATAGCAACTCTGTTAGGTTTCAGCAAGAGGAAATTGGAAGCTAATAAAAAACATATATCAGATTTTCCAATTAATATTTCCAAGGTGAATTCAGTGTGTGTTGAATGTAATTTAACAACAAATTCATATAATAATAACTCTTCCGTTCACACATTGCACATGTTCTATCCATCAGTGCCTAGTGGATTTCGAATAGTGGAGAAAGTGTCAAATGTCATTTATCTACCAATCAATTCCAAATACATTGATGAAATAAGTCCCAGAGTAGTAGATCAAACTGGAACCTTGATTAATTTCCAAAAGGAAGTCATAACAGTCAGGTTGCACTTGAAAGAGCTCTAGTGGATATGGTGTTTCGCTATAATATTCCAATGTCATCATCAACAATGGGTCAGGAAACGCGTTCTCCATCAATCAAAAGTATCAGTCCGAAAGGTGACATCAAACAGTTAACACCTGAGAATCAACAGTTCCTCATTTCACTCGGTTTCAAATTATTATAAAAGACAAAACGAAGACTTTTTACGAATTTTGGTATAACCTAAAATTGGACATCCACTCTGGTCTTAGAAGATTTCTCATTCTCCTAAGATGTTCCTGTGGAAGAAAAAGTGAAACACAAGAAACATGAGTTTCAATATTTTGAATATTGGTGAACATGTGATGATGGACAATGCGATAACGAATTGCGAAATGCACTCTCATCCACCATATGCCAATACAAGCCTAAATAAGTCATTCGAGATACGTGTTCCGATTCAAACGCAGGATATTTACACATTACCATCACAAAGTTACATTTATCTAGAAGGTAGAATTACTGACAGTGAAGATAAAGTGAGTGCTACACTGAACTTCATCAACAATGGTATTGCTTTTCTATTTGATGAAATCCGATATGAAATTGGTGGGTATAATAATAATAATAGTTTATTATAATGAACATGAATACATAAATAGAAATATACAAATACATGAATACATGAATAAAAATATACAAATACAATCGGGTAGTACAAAAATCATAATATAAGTACATAATGATATAGTCTCAATATTACAATAAACCGGAGGTACCCACAAAGTCAAAAGACTGTGCGTGGGATATCTTATCTATCATTTTGTTTATATTATTATGTTCATGATATTAATAGTATGTTCAAATAATCTTTCGAATTAATAGTTAATTACCTATTGTATTTTTGAATAAAATTTAAATGAATGTATGATTAATTGATATTTTTAGAAATTTGACGAATCAAGATACAAAAATAATATGAATCAAAATATTCAATACACCTTCATAGACTAACATATAGACAAAAAGCAATATATACTTGAGAAAAAAAAACATTCAAAATAACTACAGTAGATAATTTAATAGCTCATGAAAACGACGTGTCAATCAAATAATTTATTCAGTTCCGACTTATCCAGTACTTGAAGAAAATGTTTAACTTTTTTCTTGAAGCGATATTTTGTGCGAATTTCAATTATTTCTCTAGGAAGTATGTTGAATAGTTTCGGGCATATGTAATAACAATTTCGTTTTCCTATGGTTTTTTGTGCAAGTTGTGTCTTGTACTTTGTGTAGCGTTGGCGAGTATTGTACATGTGATTGATTCTTTGTATTTCATCTTTTTTATCGAATTGATTTATAATAATTGAGTAACAAAACAGTTGCTGAATGTCGAAAGTTTTCGTATCTTGAAATAACTTTGTAGATGGATAAGTGTTTTCCTTTTTTAACATTATTTTCAAAATCTTTTTTTGAATGACCTCAAGTCTTTTTAAGTATTGCTTCGCAGCACCACCCCATCCAATAATGCCATATCTAAGTCTGGACTCCACGAGCGCGTAATAAATTACTTTCAGATCCTTCAGTTCTAGAATATTCGTCAGTACCTTGAATTTGAACAAAAGACATCTCAGGGTTCCTGTGACATTTTGGATGTGTTGTTCCCATCTAAGATGGTGATCTATAGTTATTCCTAAGAATTTAACTGTTTCAGTTCTATATATGAGTATATTATCACCAATATCCAGAGTGTTGTAATCAGGACCGTTTCTATTCGTACATGTGAATGTCATGAATTTCGTTTTTTCAAAATTTATAGTTAGTAGTTTCGAATCCATCCATTGTTTCATAGTTCTCATGTCCCTCTCAGCCTTTTGTTTGAGCAGTTGCCAATTTTCTGCTTGATATAATATTGTGGTGTCATCGGCGAAACTGATGATCTGACCTTCACTACTTTGAGTGAATAAGCTATTTATATAAATAATAAATAATATTGGTCCTAGGACAGTACCTTGGGGCACCCCATATTGGACCTCTAGTTCACTACTTATACAATCCTGTATCTTGACACATTGTTTCCTATGAGACAGGTAGTCATTCATGAGCAGTAATGAATTACCTCTAAAGCCATTATCCTCCAAGGCCTCTGACAGCTGATGATGACTCACCGTGTCAAAGGCCTTGGCAAGATCCAGAAAGATACAAATTGTTGGAATACTTTTGTCTAACCCTGTATATAATTTAGATATCAAATGCGCTATTGCATCGTTTGTTGATTTGCCAGATTGAAAGCCGAACTGATTTTCAGATAGTAAACGATTGTGTGTCAAGAAATGTTCTATCCTATTTTTGACAACTTTCTCGAAAATTTTTGCGAGATTAGTGATTTACAGTACAATTATTCAAGGCAAATTCGACTCGTTCTAGAAAAAAGTCAGCAGCTTCATCAATGTCTCTCATCTCATAAAAACTTTCCCAGTTCATATCTTTCAAGAGTTTAATGAGTTTTTTTGTGTCAGTAAATTTTTTGTGGTAATTATCCGAGTAATTATCTGTATCCAGCACATTATTTTTATCGATTCCTACAGGTATTCCTATCAAAATTGGAAAGTGATCGGTAATATTTGATTTTATTATGTAAGGATTTACCTGATTTATGTCCTTTTTGGTTTTTACAAACAAATGGTCAATACAAGATTTGGAATGATTTTGTATTCGTGTGTAAGTGTTTATAGTTGATATATAGTCGAATTCACTCATCAAGTTGAGATATTCGTTACTGATATTGTTATCAGATTTTATATTAATGTTGATATCCCCTACAAAAATATTATAATCAACATCATCGCTACCATGAACCACCATGTATCTATTGAGATCAGCAATAAATTCTAATTTACATGTTGATGGAGGTCTGTATAAAGATGTGATAGAAAATGTTTTATTGTGTAGGTTGAATTTGGTTTTGATTACTTTACACTCAGCAATTTTATGAATTATTGATTCATGATTTATACATTGCTTGATAAAAACCAATACTCCATCATTTTGGTTGATGGTACCTTCACTATATACAGTATCATATCCTATCAAATTAAATAAAGTCACATCTGCAATATTCCATGTCTCAGAAAAAACTAGGATATCAAATGAAGTTGAAAATTGTTGTAAAAACACTTTAAATTCATCAAAATTATGGGAAATGCTTCTTATATTCAGATGTAATAAGTTAAAATGCACCTCAGAAGAATTTGATTGAATCTTATTCCAATCTGTTGCAATAATTTCTGTCGTATGTATAGGTTTGTGATTTACATCTCTGATATATTGATCCATTTTTGTTAGCTTTTTCTCTAGATACGATTACAATTATAGCTTTATTCAATTACATTCCTCAATTTTAAAAATAATATACGTTATATTTCATAATTCAAACATGGAAGTAGGGAGAAAAAATAGGTATATATAAGAAATTACATGAAAAAAATTAATATTTCGAGGTTCCTCTAGTTTGTATGCTACGCCCTGAAGAATTTTCTTTTTGGTTTTTTTTCGAGATAGGTTGTTCGGGTGGGGAAATGTTTCTTCTTTTAGTACCAGATTGCTCGAACTGTTCTTCCTCCTCTCCTCTTCTTCTAACTATACCTGGGTCTGCAGTAAGCTCACTCAATGTATATTCTTTATTGTTTATTATCAGCTTATTTTGTCTTATGTTTGATTTTATCTTGTTCTGTTTGGCAGTATTCAGGAATCCTCTTAATTCTTTATTTATTTTTTGGTCTTCTTTATTCAAATCCTGGACAATGTTTATATTCTTTCCCTTCAACTTCGCTGTATTTCTTAGTACTTCAAGCTTCTTGAAATATGTTAGTGTTTCAAATTTAATTGGTAGATTACTCTTGGCTTTATCTCCAATGCGATAAACGTTGTTAAAGTCGCTCAAACTGAGTTTGATCTCAAGTGCATTAGATAGGTGTTCAATTATTTCTGAGATATCTTCAGTTTGTGGTAGACCAAAAACAAGAAAGTTATTTTTTCTTATGGAGTGTTCCAGCTTGCCCACTTTCTCTTTGAGTGCACTGTTTTCCCGTTCGATTTCAGATATCTTACTTTTTTCACGATCTAAGTCTTCTTTGATTTTCTCTACGGTACTTTGTGTCTTGTCTGCCTTTTGCTCGATGCTGATCAACTTCTTGAATACATCTACTAAGGTTATCTGGGACTCATCGGGTCCGTTGTGGATCGAGTTCGTAATCCTGGAATCACATCAGCTATGAAGGGCTACATTTCTTATACAAATAATGAATGCAATAGATATATAAATGCTGGTTGGAATCATCTTGGTCATCCGGAAATTGTTGATCTTCAAGGGAACTTTAGCGTTTGTCTACCACTCAAACATCTATTGGGATTTTGCGAAGATTTCAAGAAAATTCTGGTGAATATTCGGCAAGAACTTGTTCTCATCAGAAGTAGCAATGACATCAATCCTACGATAACCTCCAAGGCTGGAGAAAAACCAAAAATTGAATTGACGAAAATTCTATGGCGCATTCCACACGTTCAAACGGCAGATGTGGAGAAATTGCGGTTAATCAAGTATATTGAAAAGGGGAGAGATTTAGAGATAGCCTTCCGTTCCTGGGAACTCCACGAATTTCCCATGTTACAATCAACTATGCGTCACTCATGGAATCTCAAAGCATCTAGTCAAATGGAAAAACCGAGATTTGTTATTGTTGGTTTCCAAACAAACAGAAAAAATGACAGTCAAAAAAATATGAGTCAATTCGATCACTGTAATCTCGCCAATATGAAACTTTACCTGAACTCTGAAGTGTATCCCTATGACAATTTGAATCTAAATTTCAATAAATATCAATTTTCTGTTATATATGAGATGTATGCACGATTTCAAGAGTCATATTACTACAAAAACTCTGGTGAACCTTGTCTAACACTATCTAAATTCCATGACATAGCACCATTAATTGTAATAGATTGTAGTCGACAAAACGAAACTTTAAAGGCAGGTAGTGTGGATATTCGCCTTGAGTTTGAAACAAATCAAAATATTCCTGCAAACACTTCTGCCTATTGTCTAATATTACATGATCGTTTAGTAAGGTACAACCCTCTCACTAATGTAATAACAATATTGTAGTGTAGTTGTATGTTCTCCCAACAAAAATCATATACCGTGTTGTATTATAGTTAATAAATAAATATTGACCTATCCCACTGTTTCGGATTCATTTCATGATCATAAACCCAAACAAATAATAGCTATTCTGATAATAAAATCACATAGCCTATACCAATAAACAAATCACAATCTTTATGAGTTATCATTAGTCTCACTTACCAATCAATTTTCATTTTTCCACTGCACAATTCACCTGATGTTGAAGCATAATAAAATCACAGTTTTTATACTATCCTAGGATGATGGATCAACAAATATTTTGTAAAAATATCTGCACATGACTACTTTGTCAGCATGACATTGAAAAAATATAATATGAAGCTGGATAAACATAATATTAATGATTGCACTCATATCAAACAAAACATGATAAAAGTGTTGACCTCTAGGTCAGCTAGCAAGATATTGGAACTTTAATTATACAGGGATATTCAGTAGGACTAACTTGGAAAATATAACCGAGGAGAAGATCAGGTAAACAGGTGAAACAGGTAAAATGAAAGAAACAGGTGATACAGGTGAAAGAGGTAATACAGGGGGACACGTTGAGAAGGTGAAACCAGTAAATTAGGCAAAACAGGTGATTTGAGCGAAAAACAATTAATTAAGTAGGTGACACAGGGAAGACAGGTAGGAAAAAACAGGTGACAAGGTAAATCTTCGGTGACAACACCTCCTGGTCATTGTCGACACTTCTGCACCTCGGAATGTCTGCACAAACCACAACTAGACCCCCCTATTGGCTGTGACAGCTTGAGAACTTGATGGACAGCTTACCAAACTGTCGCAGGACCGCCCCTGATACACTACTCGTGTGGAATGAGGATTGTCAAAAAGCTTTAGATTTTGCAAAGCAAGAGTTACTTTCTGAAAATGTTCTGGCGCATTATGATCAAAACAAGTCTTTGAAATTGTATTGCGATGCAAGTAATTACGGTATAGGCGCATGTTTATCCCAAGTGGACAAGGACGGCTCTGAGAGGCCAAATAGTTATATTTCCAGGGTACTAGGTACATCTGAGCAGAATTATTCGATAGTTCATAAAGAGGCGTTAGCTGTCTATTGGGCAGTGCAGAAATTATATCAATATTTGGCTGGCCGGCATTTTGAGATAATTTCGGATCACAAGGCTTTACAAACCTTATTTGGCGAAACAAAGAGTTTGCCGCAGATGGCTTCGGGAAGAATACAACGATGGTCTTTGTTTTTATCCAATTTCAATTATACTTTTCGTTATATCAAGGGGCAATATAATGTAGGGGCAGATGCTTTATCTAGGCTACCGGCTCAAATGGAAAGGGGTTCAGAAAATGTTGAAGTCGATTACGTAAATTTTGTAGAAAATGCAAATGTGGTAGATATTAATTTGGTCAGATCTGAGACAAGGAGAGACCCGGTTTTAGGGAAAATTTATAATTTCATTAGATATGGTTTTTCTGATCAGAGCAATGATGATCTGGTTAATCCTTATTTCCTGAGAAAAAATGAACTTTACATTGATAATGGCGTTATAATGTGGGGATACAGAGTGGTTATTCCTTTCAAACTCAGATCGGGGTTATTAACCGAGTTACATGCTAACCATGAGGGAATTGTGAAGATGAAGTATACCGCTAGATCCTATTTTTGGTGGCCATCATTAGATACGGAAATCGAGAATCAAGTTAAAAAATGTGAGGTTTGCATTAAATTCCGTCCGGATCCAGCTAAATCGATTCCACGTCCCTGGAATAGAACTAATCGGGTATACGAAAGAATCCACTGCGACTTTTTAGGACCGTTTGACAGCAAAATGATATTGGTCATCATTGACTCGTTTTCTAAATGGCCAGAGGTGTTTATTATGAAAAAGTTCGATGCTGAGGAAACAATAGAAAAGTGTCGAGAGTGTTTTTCTCGTTTTGGTTTGCCAGATGTGGTGGTAACGGACAACGGTTCACAATTTACATCCCAGGCGTTTTCGAAATTTTTGAGTTTAAACGGTATAAAACATTTGACCTCGCCTGTCAATCATCCTTCGAGTAATGGACAGGCAGAAAATACTGTTAAGACTTTCAAGATTGGTTTGTCGAAGGCATTGAAGGATCGAAACAATAAAAATGCGTCTTTTGAAACTTTAATGAACAGATATTTATTCAGTTGTAGAAATGCAGTTCACATTTCAACTGGCATGGCTCCTTCTAGTATGATTTTTAGATGCAAACCAAAATGTAGGTTTGATATTTTGAGACAGGACAAGGGTTCTTAGAGAAACAAAAATCAGATAATCGAGGGTCAAAAAAGAAATATTTCAATCGCGGAAGGGGATATAGTGTATTGCAGAGATTATAGGAACCCAAATAGGAAAACATGGACGAAGTGTGTAATAGATGAAATTTTAGGTAATAATGTATTCATGTGTAAAGTACTCGATGAGGAAATTGTCTGGAAAAGACATTCAGATCAGATCATGAAGATCAATGAAATAGATCAGAACGCTCATTCAACTTCAAATCCAGGCAATATCCCTCTATCGAGAGAAAACACTTCAGCGACTCATATGTACGCCGATGGTAGTCAAAATGTAAATCAGAATCATGAAACTCCAGGAGAAACCATCTCGAGTGAGAATGTGCCTGATAGTCGTGGTCCTTCAGTTTCCGACTCTGGTTACAATTTGAGACCAAGGGGTGGCATAAGGTCACCAGATCGTTTGATCTTGTAACGGGGGTATTGTAGTGTATTCATATGTATCGCTATTTATAATGTATATGTGTCATGTATCATTCTGTATGTTAATATTCGGATTCAGGATACCTAGAAGATTACTAAGAGTGATTGTCATAATAACTTGTAGATCATCTGTTTTCACTTGTGTAAAATAAAGATTTTCCTTCGTGAAGTTGAATCATTATTATTATATATCTCACGAATATAATAGTACTGCTATAATTCACTCACCAAATTACATCCACGAAGATGAAAGCAAACTTTTTTATTCAAAATAATTTAAATATTTCATTGCTGCGTCGAACACTAAAAATTGAAATATCTGGAAACCGGCTAACTTTGGTGGATGTTCACAGGAGTATCTTTTTTGCTTGAAAATGTTCATTAAATTATTTCTTTAACAAACGAAGTAAGAAACTACACTGAGAAAAAAGTTATGACCATTCTAATCCATAAGAAGCGCCCTCTAATGGTCACATTGAAAAGGTGTTCGGGATCTCAAAAAACCCCTGGATATTAATTTTTGACGTAATACACGTGCCAAAATTCGATTTTCATTCTTCAACTTCACCACCCTGTAACTCGGAAACGGAGCAATTTCGGACTGAGGTAAGTGGCTTTGAATCGGCCCATTTTGACCTCAGGAATATGTGCTGAGATTGTGTGCAGACCTTCCAGGGACACCCTGTAGATAGAAAAATCGTATCAATTAGTTTTATGAAATGTTCAAGAGCCAAAATTAATATAATTTGTTTATAAAAATAAAAGTATATATAACAAACTGCAATGAACATAATTTATTTTGATATTTGATTTGAACCATGAAGATGGATTTGAAAATCCATCACTAAATACAAATTCTTTAAGGAACACAATTCATCTGATTGTTACAAAAGTACCCTCATAACAACCCTCATAACTATACCTATACAGGGGTGCCCTACAGGTTGATTCAAACCTTTGAGGAGCCGACAGAAGATGCCTTTGGGAACATATTTGCACTTATACCTAAGCACAAAGTCTTGTGGCATTAGTAGTGTATCAGGGGCGGTCCTGCGACAGTTTGGTAAGCTGTCCATCAAGTTCTCAAGCTGTCACAGCCAATAGGGGGGTCTAGTTGTGGTTTGTGCAGACATTCCGAGGTGCAGAAGTGTCGACAATGACCAGGAGGTGTTGTCACCGAAGATTTACCTTGTCACCTGTTTTTTCCTACCTGTCTTCCCTGTGTCACCTACTTAATTAATTGTTTTTTTGCTCAAATCACCTGTTTTGCCTAATTTACTGGTTTCACCTTCTCAACGTGTCCCCCTGTATTACCTCTTTCACCTGTATCACCTGTT